TTGATTGCCTGTGCGGTTTTTTTTATTGTTTGCGCTATAAAAAAAAGACAGACAATTTTGAAAAATAACAATATTTTTGACCTTTTGCTATTTAACATGTCCAGTAAAAAAATTTAAACAATCAAATTTTGTCATAAATGTAAGACAAAATGTATTCTGCTACTGTCTTTGCTAAAATAAAAAATCCTAATACGTGTAAATTAAGTGGTTTATGTGAAAATTATGGCGTTTACAAATGGCAGTATATATACTGGTATTTTTTTTTTTAATACTAGTAATGGGCGGCGTTCAGTAACTTATAGCGGGACTGCAGTGGCCATTCTGACACGGGGGGGGGGGGGGGGGGTGGGTCTGACATCCCCAGTGACATCAATACAGTGATCAGTGCTAATAAAAAGCATTGACACTGTATTAATGGCACTGGGCAGGAAAGGGTTAACGTGGAGCGATCAAAGGGTTAGCTGTGTGCTGTTTTACTGTAAGCTGTGTGTGTGTTTTCAACTGTAAGCACACTGCTTTGTACGGCTCTGACAGGGTAGAGAACTGTATTGTTTACATACAGTTCTCTCCCGCCCCCCCGCCCCCATCAGTAATGCTCAGCGATCACCAGGTGCCGGCGTTTAATCACCGGCCGGGACCCGGTGGTTGACAGCCGAAGTCGCAAATAGCAGCTTGCGTGTGCCCCTACCTGGAAATCACACAATATATATATATATATATATATATATATATATATATATATAGCACAATCACGTATATATACACTGACAGTTAATTGACCTTTTGAATGTCGCATGAGATAAGTGGGAAAAAAAAAAAGTGTCACGTGATCCAATTATCTCATACGATATTCTTTAGTGAATTGAGCCCTAGAAGAGACTGCAAGAAGTGGTGCGTGGTTGCCTAGGTGATGCATTTCGCGGGTGTGGCCTCCTTTTTTTGGTCCTGGATTTGAAGTCAGTGCTACACATTTTTTGACTTCTAATGAAGCCAATAGATCATTATAACAAATCACATTTCTTGTTTGCCGTTTCCGCCAGTAAAGAAAGTGGCAGGAAAAGCTCCAAGATCAAAATTCAAAATCTGTATTGCCTGCTGGATTAAGTAAACTATCCTTGAGTTACACAAAGTCACGCAAGTGAGTCTTCCTGCCTTTAATGCCCTTTTAATTTTAACTTCTTCATGGGTGGAATAAGGTGGTTCCATTCTGGAGCAAATCTGCAAGGCCACAACGCGATCAAGCTTTCACTATCAAACTTTTGGGAGAAAGGTTCTGCAGGCTGTTACCAAACCTCTGCTCAAATTGCTTAGGTGATTTGAGGGGAAGTGGGAGCAGGTACCTATCAAAACTAGGTACCCGTTCCCTAAATAAAAAAAATATAATGTGCCAAATGTGGTAGAGGAGGGGGGGAGGAGGACATAAAACAAAACTTTCCCTTTTTGGGTGAAGTTACTCTTTATTTATACTTGTATTCTTTTTGAATAACCAATAATGTATAAGGGGGATTAGAACAGCTGGGTTCATAGCACAAGTTTAGTTGATTTGAATGAAACACAACATCTTATTGGCTAAACTCACTGAACCTTTCTAAGTGAACGGTTTCTACTCCTGTTTGCATGTCAAACCCGTGGAGATTGCAGTTGGACTGGAAAAGGTGTGTTCAGCCTTTATATATGTATTTATTTATATCCGTTGAGAGAACAGCCTGTAGCAACGTAAATATTGCGCAACAGATGTTTTATGTTTAATGACAGTTGCTCCCCCCCCCACCACACACACACACACACACACACACACACACACACACACACCTCTTCCACCTTTCTTTGGGGGGGGGGGGGGGTACCTGGTTTTGACAGGTATCCTCTTCCACTTCTGGTCACTGGTATTATTTATTACAGGTACTTATATTGTGCCATCAATTTACCCAGCGCTTTACTTATATAGTACATTCACATCGGTCCCCAGCCCTCAAGGGGCATACAATCTAAGGTCCCTTACATTCATACATACACATACTAGGGCCAATTTAGACCGGAGCCAATTCACCTACCAGCATGTTTTTGGAGTGTGGGAGGAAACCAGAGTACTCTGAGGAAACCCACGCAGGCACAGGGAGAACATGCAGACTCCAGGCAGGTGGTGCCGTGGTTGGGATTCAAACCAACAACCCTAGTACTGCCTGGCAGAAGTGATAACCATTTAGCCACTGTGTTGCCCCGGTAGCACTGGTACCTGCTCCCTTGATGGCTGCACCAGTCTGACACTCAACCTTCCTATATTCATTCCGCAGTTCCTTTGGCCATGACAACTTCATCCTTTCAGTCTAGAGAAGAATTTTCTGTCTGAATTCATAGGCAGAATTTCTGGCTATGTCGAGGCCAGGGACTCCTAGGGTCATGGCCACGCCCCTTCTACTTCTCTCCAGCATCAGCTTTTTGACTTTGTTCTTCAGCCAGATGTGGTACCAGAGAGGTGGCATTAGCAGAGGAAGACTCCTTGCCTTCTGAGATATCTGATCAGAATGACATGACTGCTACAGAAACGTTTCTGAAACTCATGAACACTATTTGTTATGCTGATTGAAGCTGTTCTCTCTTTAGCGTAGAGCGTCTGCTCGCCGTAAAGTTTCTAGTATGGGGTCCTCAAAGTTCCCTATACCAGCTAACATCAATTCTGTTCAGGCGCTGCTTGAGCCTGTCCTAAATGATGACTGGGCTCAACTGCAAAAAAAATTTTTTTTTCTCTACCCTAAACTTTTCGCCCAACATATCCTACTGAGGAAAGTTTGCTTGGAAAATGGACAATTCCTGTGGTAGATCCAGCTATTTCCTAGCTTAACAAACCAAACACAAAAAGTGTGTTCAAAGACACCCCTTAGATAGAAGGTCTCTTTAAGTCTACCTTTGCTCTGACCGGCCCTGCCATTCAACCTGCAGTTGTATTTATGGAAAGCTGTAAGACCACTGCTATTTGAACTAAGGTTAGGGCTCAGAACCCTAGCTGTCTCCTTATAGTTCCATCTGTCCATAGTCAGCTGGAACTTTTACCTTCATCTTCACACTACTGCTGGAATGGCTTGGCAGGTACACTGCCAAATTTCTAAGATTTGCTTTATCTTTGTACATATTAGATGCCTATCTGCATGTTCCCACTTTTTTGTCTCCCCATCACTAAGTGCGTTTTGCAGTAGGTGACCCTCATTACCAGTTTTTTTGCCCTTTCCCTTGGCCTATCCATGGTTGTTTTCACAAATGTGCTTTCCCAGATTTGGCTCTGCCTCATTCTGAGGGGATTCGTGTTGTGGGGTACCTGGATGAACTCTGGTTAAAGAACCAGTCTTCCTGTCCCTGTCAGTTTCATCTCTTCACAACATTTTTAGCCAAATTGATTTTCAACGGAAAGGCAACATAATAACTCTAACATGGTTTCATTATGCTTGCACAGGCCCTTGAGGTTTTTATGCATTCTAAATGCTTAGTAAATAATACTCTTCATGTCAGAATTTACATTTCCAAAGGGAGATTAAAGTGTATCTAAAGACAGAATTTTTTTTTTTTTTAGTTTTGGATAGAGTGGAGTGGGATTCGAACACATTTTGGGTTGTCCCCAGAAAAGTAATAGAGGGGAGATCTTCCAATGTGGACACTAGTTCTGGTGACACGCTAGGATTCCCTTACTTTGGAGGGATTTCTTCTGACTTCCTGTTTTCACTATGGGACAGGAAGTGAAGAGAAATCTCCCCAATGGGACAGATATGGCAAAAAAAAAATTACAGGGGTTATAACTCTCCCTTCCTCTTTCCAAAATAAAAACAAAAAAAAAGGTTTTGTCTTTAATTACACTATAATAGATATCTTTGGATACCAAGCCTAATAAATTCAAACTCGCTTTGTGTTTCCCTTAGCTAATTATATGATTAAGTATAAGGAGTATGCAAATCTTTCATGTCAGTCATTTTCTTGCTTTACTTACTAGATCTTAGCTAGCTGAAAAAAGAGAAACACTTCTACACATTTAACTTATTTCCTTATTGCTTTGGCTCCATCTCCTGTCCCAAAATCCTTAGATGGGTGACCATCCAAGCCAAGTTTGTAATTACAGCACAATATTGGATCAGTACCAGAGCAATTTTCTTCTCATACAATTATTCTAGCAGAGCCACCTTTATATGGTTTATATAATTAATAGTTTATTCTTTACAGGGCTGCCATTAAATCATGGGCATTACATATTTCCAGCCAAATGGCACATACTATATGTCGCTTACAAAAGAGAGACCCTTTCTGCTGTTTGTAAATGTAAGAGTGGGGTAATTTGTAAAGATATAAGTGAAGGTCAGGGCTTGTGTTACAGCAGTGTACAGCTTTTGTTATCATTGTATTTCATATATATATTTGTAAGTGTTGCCATTAGTGAGTCAACTATACCATATATTGGGGGAACTTAAGCTGTTGAAATAAACTTATTTTCTTATAACAGTAGAATAGTTTAAGGCCTTGCATACACTGGGTGCCTAGCCCCTATGAGCAAGATTCCAGCATTTTTGTAGAAGCGGAAGGCTCTGGTGCACCTTGCAGCCACTGCTGCAATGGTACTAACATTTAGGGCAGTATAGGCCTAAGAACAAATGCCCAGAAGGTAAGATGCCTGTGCTCTGGGCGTTTGTCTATGGGCACATACTGCCTTAAGCGTTAGACTTACTCTGTACATAATCCAGCCACGGCAGTTTTCATTCACTCTTAAGACTTTTACAGGCTGCCAACAGCAGGGCTCGATGGTGTCCCTGTGGCTTCCACCCACATGTAAATGCCAGAATCGCATGCAGAGGGGCTAAACGCCCAGTATGCATGAGGCCTAAGTAGTATATAGAGTCATGTCAGACCTGACCAGTAACCTTGCACCTAGGGAGAGAAGCAATGAGGTCATGGTACAGAATTGCTAAGTTAGGGTGCCAATTGTGTAAAGTTTACATGAATAGGTTATGTTTTTCTTCCAGCCCTGAACCGCTGTCATGCTTCCAATATCCAGGGATGTGTTCACGGAGAGACTGAAGCTTTAAATCCTTCATCTCTGATTCCGTTGGGTCAGAATGTGGGTAGCAAAAGGTACGTTTAAAATGGAAATATTAAAATGGTTACAAAGCATAAGCATTTTTACCCTGGTACATTCTTTGCATTAAGGTAAAAAATGTTTAGGTATCAATATTCCTCCTCACTACCTCCCCCCCCCTCCCTTTTCCTGTTTACTTACCTGAGCCCCCATTTGATCTAGCACTGTGCCATGTTGCAGGACCATGCAATTGTCATTCAAAGTGTGAAAATTTACCTGGGCAGGAAGGGCATGAAAGTGTCCAGTATTGAAGTGGTTATAGTAAGCAACACCACACTCCTACCCCTCCTCACCTGAGACCAAGACTTTTTGTACGTTAAGGCCCTGGCATTGCACTGTGCAATACATACGTGAGCTTCCTGTACTATGGTAGTGCTCTAGTGTTTCACTTATTAACTAATACTTTTGTCCTGGTATTTCACACCACCAGTTTTTCTGCATACGATGTTTTTTCAGTGTTTTTCTTTTAATTTCTTTGATTAAAAAGTCAGTTTACCTTTTAATGTATGTACAGTGGATATAAAAAGTCTACACATCCCTGTTAAAATGTTAGGTTTCTGTTATGTAAATAAATGAGACAAAGATAAACAATTTCAGAACCTTTTCCACCTTTTAATGTGATCTATAAAAACTGTACAACTCAATTAAAAAACAAACTGAAATCTTTTTTTTTTTTTGGGGGGGGGGGAGTAGTAAACATAAAAAAACTAAAATGATGTGGTTGCATAAGTGTGCACACCCTCTTATAACTGGGGATGTAGCTGTGTTCAGAATTAAGCAATCACATTCAAAATCATGTTAAATAGGAATCAGTACACACCACACCTGCCATAATTTAAAGTGCCTCTGATTAACCCCAAATAAAGTTCAGCTGTTCTAGTAGGTTTTTCCTGACATTTTCTTAGTCGCATCCTACAGCAAAAGCCATGGTCTGCAGAGAGCTTCCAAAGCATCAGAGGAATCTCATTGTTAAACGTATCAGTCAGGAGAAGGGTACAAAAGAATTTACAAGGCATTAGCTATACCATGGAACACAGTGAAGACAGTCATCATCCAGTGGAGAAAATATGGCGCAACAGTGACACCAGCAAGAACTGGACGTCCCTCCAAAACTGGTGAAAAGACAAGAAGAAAACTGGTCTGGGAGGCTGCCAAGAGGCCTACAGCAACATTAAAGAAGCTGCAGGAATACCTGGCAAGTACTGGCTGTGTGGTGCATGTGACAACAATCTCCCATATCCTTCATATGTCTGGGCTATGGGGTAGAGCGGCAAGACTGAAGCATTTTCTTATGATGAAAAACCTCCAAGCCCGGCTACATTTTGCAAAACCACATCTGAAGACTCCCATAAGCATGTGGGAAAATGTGTTATGGTCTGATGAAACCAAGGTTGAACGTTTTGGCCATAATTCCAAAAGATATGTTTGGTGCAAAAAGAACACTGCACATCACCAAAAGAACACCATACCCACAGTGAAGCATGGTGGTGGCAGCATCATGCTTTGGGGCTGTATTTCTTCAGCTGGAACTGGGGCCTTAGTCAGGGTAGAGGGAATTATGAACAGTTCCAAATACTAGTCAATATTGGCACAAAACCTTCAGGCTTCTGCTAGAAAGCTGAACATGAAGAGGAACCTCATCTTTTAGCTTGACAACGACCCAAAGCATACATCCAAATGAACAAAGGAATGGCTTCACCAAAAGAAGATTAAACTTTTGGAATGGCCCAGCCAGAGTCCAGACCTGAATCCAATCGAAAATCTGTGGGGTGATCTGAAGAGGGCTGTGCACAGGAGATGCCCTCGCAATCTGACAAATTTGGAGTGTTTTTTGCAAGGAAGAGTGGACAAATATTGCCAAGCCAAGATGTGCCATGCTGATAGACTCATTCCCAAAAAGACTGAGTGCTGTAATAAAATCAAAAGGTGCTTCAACAAAGTATTAGTTTAAGGATGTCCACACTTATGCAACCATATTATTTTACTTTTTTATTTTACTTCCCTTCACCTAAAAGATTGTCTCCTTTTTCTTTTTTTTTTTTTTTTTTTAACATCACAGAAATCTGACATTTTAATAGGGGTGTGTATACTCTTTATATCCACTAAACATTTAAAATTGTCTTTTTTTTTTTTTTTTTTTATTTGATTCTTCATTTTGAAGCTGTTTTTAGTGTGGACTTCCTCTCACTGTCCTGCTGTTGGATATGCAGCTTCAGCACCTCATGAACCAGCATTTGTCTATAAGAACTCATTTTGCCCAACTGCGAAGCTGCAGTCCACTCATTGGCAGAATACTGAGTTCAGCCTCTGCTGTGGGAGAGAGCAGGAGGCGCATATTTGGTTAGGCTAAATAAGCGGAGTTCTTGTAGCTGAGTGCTCATAAGTGGGGCGCTGGAGCTGTGCATCGAACAGTCATTTCATCTTACTATCTAGGCAGGAGGGAGAGGGAGAGTCTGCAGTGGCAGCTTCAAAGTTAAGAGTTCCACCTGAGAGAAAAAAAAAAGTCAGCAGCTACAAAAAACTACAGCTGCTGACCTTTACAATACAGCCACTTACCTGACCCTTGGTCTAGCGGTGTCCCCAACACCGCTGGTTTCACTGGCCGTCTTCTCTCTCTGGCACCAGCATCTTTAGTGTGGGCACCTGGCTGTGACAGCTTGGGTGCCTACTGAGCATGCGCGAGAAGCGCTGCGCTTTGTGAATGACCCTGTAGTCTTCTGGGACCTGTCACGTTTCCCAAAAGATTACGGGGAGGGAGGTGGGGAAGACCACTTCCACTTCTGATTGCCTAGCTGATTGCAGCGAAAGTGGGAACGGGTACTTGACAAATTTGGGTACCGGCTCCCTCCCCCCCTTCTCCCTAAAGGTGCCAATCCTTAATTGGGAGCAGGGGACAAAGCATTAAAGCGGAACTTCCCCTTTTGTGTGGAGCTCCGCTTTAAGGATCATTTTATAAAATGGAGAACAGCATTTGCTTTGCAATAAAACCTGTAATACATATGGTATTGTTTTTTGAATGTCATTAAAGGTGAACTAACCTTTTAAAGATAGACTGCCACCTTACCCATTCTCTGACCCACTGATACATTGCCAGTGCTCTCAGCTGCTCCTTCCTCTGTTGTAGCAGTGCCAACATTCCCAGTGTCAACTGATGTCGGATGCTAGGGGGAGCTGTGACTTCACTTTCTCAATTTTGTGACGGTAGTGGGGCATAGCGATGGTGTTACCTAGGTTATTGTGCATTAAAAAATACAATCTGTCTAGGTATGCCCACTTCTGCAGCCTGATATTCACCCATGAAAGAATTTGGATATTTACTTATGATGTCTGAAGAGACAGCCCACTGCTTGCGTCAGAACTAAGGGCTTTTGCAAGGCGTACTGGGGCAGAATGTTGTGATATTTATGGAAGTCATATACAGCACTCTGCTGGCCCCTCCCACCAGTCATGATCTTTCTCCATTGCATTGAGAAGCACAAAGACCCAGTGATGTCACTAGGTCTAAAGTTTGAAAAAATATATATAATTTGCTAGTTGTTAAGGGGGACAGAAACCAGAACCAGGGAAGCCAAAATATAACCAAATTAAACTTCAGCTTTCATAACATTTGTCTTTTGATCTAAGGATCTTTAGCACTGTTGCTATGCACTAACATGCATTTTAAGTTGTATCCCTAGGCTAAGCATTTTTAGAGATTTGGAAAAAGTGTCCATCCCATTTAAAGTCCAGCAGTGATGCTTAGGTGGGAACAGCCCATCTTGACTTCTAAAGTCAACATTTTCATATAATTTCATCTGCCCTGGTCTCTGAATCTTCTTACTGTTTTATCATGCAGTTTTCACTGATGGTAAAAGCTTCTTAAGAGAATGTTCAGTTTTAAATTTCCCAGTTTTTACAAGTTCACTATACATTGCTCCAGAACTATTAAGATTAATTTTAAGATGTCACTAAATGCATCAGCACAGTTGAAAAATTCTGATCAATGGGACCTGATTTACCTCAGTTGTTTTATGGTTTTTATTAGCTCTAGGTTATTTGCTTGAACTTATGCTGGTATTTCATCAGCATGCCACTGGAGATAGGAGCAGATAAATTCATGCTGTTTCTGATGTCAGTACGCTTGTTTTCATGGTTGGGAAGCTCAAAGTTGCGTGTTAAGTGTCATAGCAAGCTGCAGTCTGCTTCATCGCACAATGTATTTTTAATACAGTAACAGATGTCTATATTCCATCGGTGGTGAGATCTAAAACATTTTATGTGTGAAGACAAAACCATAGTTTAAAAAACAAAACTGACAGGTATCACTGTACAAATGCATGTGGTACTTCTCACATTACAGAATGAATCCGTAAATACCCTGAATGATTTTATCTGTGATCTCCTGACCACCGCTGCAGTAAGTGCATTGCCCTTTAAGGGAGCCTGGTGTGTCCTCCTATGAACTGCCCTGGTTTCACTCCTGTTAGCGGTTAATACTGGGACTCTAGCCGCTATTGTTTATAGTCATGAACCAGTGGTGGGAACAAGAGCTGCAACTTTAAATTAGGTGCCCAGTGCCCCCCTTTCTAGGGGTACATTGATATTTAAAAAAATGTATGACCCCCAAACACTGAATTCAAGCCACAGTACACTGTGAAGACCGTGAATCATGGTTGCGCAAGCATCATGATATGGGGATGTTTCTCATACTACGGTGTTGGGTCTGTTTATCGCATACCAGGGATCATGGATCAGTTTGAATACATCAGAATACTTAAAGAGGTCATGCTGCCTTATGCTGAAGAGGAAATGCCCTTGAAATGGGTGTTCCAACAAGACAACGACCCCAAACACACCAGTAAACGTGCAACATCTTGGTTCCAGACCAACAAGATTGACGTTATGGAGTGGCCAGCCCAATCCCCGGATCTTAATCCAATAGAAAACTTGTGGGGTGACAACAAAAATGCAGTTTCTGAGGCAAAAACCAAGAAATAGAGAAGAACTGTGGAATGTA